CGCAAAACACCCAACTGACTCTCAACAGCAACAACAAAAGATGATAATAAGATGAAATTCAATCGACCTTCACTGCCCAAAGTCCAGGATGATCGCATAAATCTACCTCTTCCTCTACTACAGCTAAGTGCAAAAACGATGTCCTCTTTACACTCTTTGAGGTCTGGGTGCACGAGCCAGCAGTACTTAGAGAGACTTGGGAGTACTGACATAAGCCAAAAATGGCTGACCTATGCACTGTATTATAAAGCAATTATTTGAGTGGGAAAGGTCCTTAAGAGTACTATCAAGTCGCCCAGAAAGTGGATGGTTTTTGCAATTTAGTCATGGACAATCACAGTGCGCTTGCTGGAACGACTACATATTCTGCTTCCCCCGATACACGCCCCAGTTCTTTGGATCTCACGATCCTTAATACATAACTAACCCACATATGCCGTCTTACTTTCATCCTGCCCTGCTTACCCATCACGCTTCTATAGGAAATTGATATCTATCTCCTGACCTCTCACTCACATCTATCAAGCATAGTTGCGTTTCCATGGCCATAAACACACCTTTCGTCTGAACAATCGACACCGCCTGCATCCGCCTTCTGGCTTTTCTTGCACCGCCCCTTTCGTGCTACATACCATAAGGCATCAAACTCGTTATCCGTGAGCTCTTGATGATGGTGGTTCCGGTGGAACCCATTAATCTTGCACTCCCCACGGAGAAACAGAAAGAAACACAGGTTCTTTGCCTGAATTCTCTCAACAGTTGCATCGTCAACCAGCAGCGCCTTATCAACCCGACGCCCAGCTTCGTTCCTCACGACTGGCGCCAGTCTCCAAAATTGTGCTTTCGGGTTACGCCAGCCCGAGAACGACGCAAACGGTGGCCTGACAGCGCTGATGGTGTTCACATCACTAACAATACTGCCCTGTCCATGGGCCAAATGGGGTTCCTCTTGGAACACAGAACTGAATCGTGTCGTCTTCAAACCTAACTTTCTGATCGCCAGTGGAAACGGCGGTCCCTCCAATAATGTTATACGATTTGCGATCTTCTTATCTCCAACAAGCTGCCCTAGAAACGGGGCGTAGCCGGTATCGTAGCCGCACGCGACGACGATGTGCTGACATTGGGAACTATCCAGGAAAAACCTCATGTTCTCTGTTTCGATGCACCATTGTTAGACCGTAAATTCTTCAAGGATTGAACATACCAATACTGCAGCGGGCACCAACAGGCCAATCTGAAAAAGGAAATAGATGGATCTCACCGCGAATCTTAGTATCTGCCCGTTCTTTTCCCGGCCCAACGTCCACAAAGTCGAAGAGACTCCCCCCATTGTTGAATCCAGTGACAAAATCTCTCAACTGACTGCAATTTTGCAGTCTGCTATCACGTTTGAGGGCCATCTCAAGGCCGCTCACGTTCGCAAACGCTCTGACTACGAAATCCATGTGGATGAAGCCGCCATACAGTTGATTGATGTGACTTTGCAACGCAGCCAGTAGCGAATCAGCAGCAATTTTGCCGCCATCCTCTCCTTTCTTGATGAAGTCGTCACGAAACTAAAACGGTTGCAACGATCAGTCCCGTTTAATTAGATTCGTGGCGTGTCACTGCTTACAATGTATTCATCTGCATCCGCATCTATCAATGCGACGACAAAAGGCGATCGTGACTGACGCTCTCTCCAATCTCTGTGCTGTTGTGCCTCCTCCTGCAGACGTCTTCTTGCGTCGCACTCGTTCTCTAGGTCAAACTTTGCCTGTTTCAGCGAACTTTCCGTTCGTTCAAGCTTGTCCAAGAGATCCTGCCATCAACGGACTTAGTTCATCCTCGCAGATGGGATCTCAATATCAAACATACCTCTATCAGCCTGAATCCTCTGTCAACCCCTCCAGTTAGGTTTGCTCGGATATCAGCGAAGCGATCACGATACGCGTTTTCTTCCGCCTCCATGATAATAGACGAAAGTGGAGCAATCGCTTGCGGACAATAGAGAAGTCCCTCGACAAATGTGTTGAAACCTTGACGACAACAAAGGCTCGAGCGGGGTAGTGCATTGTAGCGCGGAATTGCGTTGTCAACGTCATTCCTTGCCAACAGGAAGAGTGGCCTAAAGTTGTAGACCCACATTGGGATCGGTTCTAGACTCTTCTATGGCAGCTTGGACCCATCTCACAAGCTAGAGAGAGATTCATGCCACCGTGTCATTTGCCCTTTAAAGTGCTTATTCGCCGCTGGACGGTTGCCACGTTTCATTCGCCCTTTCCATCGTCCGCACTGACCAGTAGCTGCGATCATGGCGGCAGACCATTGGTTGTACGAGATCAGCGACGACGATGATGGTCATCACTCAGAGATCTCCTTTCCCGACAGTGAACTGAATCATGGCACTAGTTCCCCACCCAGCCAGCTTTGCCCCCTTCCAGGGTCGCTGCGCTTCATGGGTCGCTGCCCTTCTTGAACTACCGCAAGTGGGCTCCAGGCCAGTCATATGAACAGCCCCCTCGTTGGATGCTCTATACCATGCAATGGAAATTGACCCTGAACAACAGAAAGGCTGTAGAGCAGACCGAGCAAAATCTTGTCGTAGCCCCAAGCGATTTTTGGCGAGAAATTCTCTCACTCAAGATCGCCGAGATCGTGAATTCGAAAAAGAAAACCTACGAAACGAGTGCTACGACCATTGTCATGTCAGTTCCTAACGATCGGTCGGAAGATAAAGTCACGAAGCATTTCCCGAAGCAACAGATTGACTGGTCGGTTGTAGAGAGACAGCTGCAAGGGTGGAGCCAGCTCCTTCGCGCTGGTAAGAGCCTGAAGCTCTTTGTTCAGATGGACTATGTGGAGTGTGCACCCACGGGCCGGCCCGCTGGACGGGGCGCTACTGCGACCGGGCTCGCTGAGCGGACCGCACGAATCGATGCTGAGCGAGAGGCCGCTGGCGAGGTTGATCCATGGAGGCGGGTCTATCAGCTCATGAGATGCCCAGGAGCCCCCTGCGACAATGGACAATGGTGCTGGCAGGACCGCGCCCAAAAGACGCACCACAAACTCCTGGATCATCATATGAGAGAACCTGTCCGGTGGGTACAGCAAGGCTACCGGCTATAGACCCATAACGATGTTCCCAAGGAGATCCAAGCACAGTTATACGCCCAGGAATAACAGGGTCGCAAGGGCAAGCGACAGAATTCAGGGTTAGACTCGACTAGTCATGTCCCCGTAATAATCCACAACCACATGTCAGACTATATAGCAGGTTCAGACAGGGTCTCACCAGATCTTAAAAGATCCCCACGCGCTCGTCTGTCTCCTATTTCTATACATGAGCTGAGAGATGATGCCGTCAAGGCATAGTGCGAGTGGCATCGCTCCCAAGTTCGAAGCGAAACCCAAAAAGACCATTTCGAGCTGGCGTGCAGCCTAACAGTAGAGAGGGGTCTGGATAAGCTCGTTCAGAAGGATAATAATGCTCAATTCTACATCGAGCAGGGCGTGATAGAAGGAGTGGCCCGCCGATGGGTGCAGGACATCCAGAATTATCTAGACCAATATGTTGTCCTAGTAGCGTAATGTTAAATCTTGTTTGCTTGTCTCAGTCTAGTGGTTCGTCAATCAAGATCAAACAGCTGTAGAAGTGACCTCTAGCACTCTTCTTTCACTAGCCCACAACCATGACACATTCTTCCAGGCATGATTGGAAATCGGCCCTAATGAGGCCTTGATGATCGTTCCAGACCTGCCGGATAAAGTTCTTCAACTCCCCGAGAAGTGCTCGATGGGAATAATGTCTGGCGAATAAGGCGCCAAGTACACCAGCACCACTCCTTCTGCACTGCACATTTCCCGTATGCGCTCCGAGTGATGAAAGGATGCAATGTCCATAATCAAAACAGACCGCGGCTCGAGCCAACGTCCACAATACTGCAGCAGCATTTCGATGAAGCTTTCAAACACTTCGGCATCCGTTGATCCATCGAAGACACGGAAGTGTATCACTCCGTCCTGGGTAAAGGCCGGCAGGATCTGATATCTCCGACCGCAGTGGAATCGCTTGACCTGCTATGGTCGTTTCCCCCGAGGAGCCCAGCCTCTACGCCGTATACCGATGCTCTTGTCTATGCCGGACTCGTCCACGAACACCAGCTGGTCGGATCGGTACTGGGATATCTGGTACATGTATTCGTCTCGCAAGTCAAGGTTATGCTCCTAAGCAACATTTTGTGTGGCTTTCTGGGACCAATTATCGTCCTTCAGGGTCCTACTGATCCTGAAGCGGGACACGTCGACATTATAATGTTCGCGAAGGGAAGCAGCCATCTTATCAAGGGTCAGGCACGGATCAAAGGCAAGTTGGCTCCGCAGCGCGCTCAGCATAGGAGGAGTGATGGATTTGGGGCGGCCGCGAGTATTTGTTGGGATCTTCGCAGACCCAAACAGAAGCAGTTTCGAGCGAATTCGTCGCACCGTCCGTGGATTACATCCGACTAACTTGGCTATGCTGTCATCATTGGCAGTTGTTTCACCTCGTAGCTTACTGTGGATGACATTTCTGAGCAGGTCGTGCGTCGAACAAGCAAGGAACGGCGCCATAATCGAGAAGCCCTTTGCGGGTTCTGCCCTGCTGTTGTTGCTGATGGAAAATGTGAAGGCCCATTTTGGGCGTTGTGATTATGACTCACAATTAAGGCCACGGTGTTCATCTGTCCCGAGCATAATCCATTTCCGGAGTAGTCAGCCTGTACCCATGGCAGTACTATGTGTGAGATCAAGAGTTTTCACACTGTAAGGAACATGTCTGTGCGCCAAGAGAATTAAAAGAGTTTATTTCAACCGGACATTATTTTCGCACATAGCTGTACTTACTGTGAAAATGGGTATTCGGGCTAAGGAAAAAAAAAAAAAAAAAAAAACCGTGGGAACTCTCAACTCAGTCTTGTCGTTGGTTTACTGTTTAAGAAAGGTTGGTGGTGTGAGTGGAGGTATCTTAGCCTCCCGTCATGGCGGAACCAATGGAGGCCGAGATTGTGGTGGAACCGGATGACGCCCCCTTTTCGACGCCAAAGCGCCCGATTCGAGTTGCGAAGCCGACCATCAAAATTCGAACCACGACTCGACAGGACAAAGAGGCAGCGCAGGAACCGAAGAGAACGACCCGGAACACGACGCGATCAGCATCAATTGAAGGAACGGCGGAACGAGCGAGCGACATCAGACGAAGCAATGGCGGCGGCGGAAGTATCGGAAGCAACGATGGCCGGGCAATGCTCCAGAAGGCTTTGGAGATGCTGGGTGAATCCCGCAAAGAGTCCCAATGGCTGAAGGAAGCACTCAAGCGGCAAATGGAGGTGGTGCAGAAACAGGACGAAATGATACGCGACTTGAGCTCGAAGATGGATGAAACCACGAAACAGATGAACGAAGAACTGAAGCAATCCCGCGAAGAACTGAAGCTGGTCCGTGAGCAACTCGAAACTATCGCGACAAACGCCACACAATCCCCCTCCATGTCGTACGCCGACGTTGCGCGATCAGCCCCGTCATCCCAACCGACTAACCTCCGAACGCTCTCGTCCTTTAACACGACGCCGTCCAACTTCTCCGACACGCCGTACTGCACAATCGATACATCCCATGCCGAAAGCGAAGCCGCCGAGCAAGTGTCGGTCGGCTCAATCCGAACGATGGTGGAGAGCCAGATCCGTTCTGGAGAAGGCGAGGCCGGGTCCTGGCGGTGCCGAGCAGTGACGAAGGACCCTAGGAACCCCCATCGCATCAGGATTGCTTGCAGAAACGACGATGAACACGCGATGGTGAAACGAGTGGTGGAAGCGAACCTGGCGCGAGGAGCCCGGATTCTTCGAGACGATGTTTACCCAATCAGAGTGGATAGTGTCAACCGCACAGCTGTGCTGAACGACGATGGAGACGTCCGCGCCGGAGCAGCGGAGGCTTTTGGCGTGGAGAACGACGCCTCGGTTGCGAAGGTAGCGTGGCTTAGCGACAGAAACGTTGCGAAGGCGTATGGATCGATGGTAGTGTATCTCAGGAAAGCGGCGGATGCACGCCGGCTGCTCGGCGAAGGCTTCTTCCACGCGGGAGGAGAGTCTGGCTATACGAGGCCCTTCGAGCGCCGAGAACGAACGAATCAGTGCTACAACTGTCAAGAAATTACCGACCACAAGGCCTACCAATGCAACAAGCCCAAGGTATGTGCGAGATGTGCTGCAGAAGGGCACAGCCATCACGAGTGCAGTGCGACGATCCTGAAGTGCGTTCCGTGCGGAGGGCCGCATGAATCGTTCAGCAGAAACTGCAGGAGACTGTACCCCGCGCGACATGAGTAAAAGGTTCCAGATGATGCAACTTAACGTGATGAAACGGGGCGAAATACACGAGAGCTTGATGAACGACGAAGCAATTCGGGATGCGACGGTGTTGGCGATCCAGGAGCCGCAGGCGAGGGTCATCCAAGACCGCCTCCTGACGACCCCAATGGGACACCAGGGGTGGACGAAGATGGTCCCGTCGACGTGTAGGGAGGGTAGATGGGCGATCAGGAGCATGTTGTGGGTGAATAAGGAGGTGGAAGCGGAACAGATACTGGTGGAGTCGCCCGACGTGACGGCGGCCGTTGTCCGGCTCGAGGAGCGGCTGGTGGTGGTGGCGTCGGTATACGTGCCGGGAGGTGAAAGCCATGCTCTACGGAGCATATGTGACAAGTTGCGACAGATCGTGCTGGACACTAGACAGCGAGCGGACAGGGTAGTGGATGTGGTCATTGCGGGCGACTTCAACCGACACGACCAGCTCTGGGGAGGAGACGAGATATCGATGGTCAGGCAGGGCGAGGCGGACCCGATCATCGACCTCATGAACGAGTTCGGCCTCAGTAGTCTACTACCGCGTGGCACGAAGACGTGGCAGAGAGGGGAGCACCAGTCGACCATCGATCTCGTCTTGGCTTCTGAAGATCCGACGAACTCGCTGATCAAGTGTGCGATCCACGAGACGGACCATGGGTCGGATCACAGGGCCATTGAGACGATTTTCGACGTCTCGATTCCTACACCGGCACCGCGGGAGCGCCTGCTCTTCAAGAACGCGCCCTGGAAAGAGATTAACGCCAGGATCGAGAGAGCGCTGGAAACGACACCTGGCGAAGGAACGGTGCAACAAAAGACGGACAGACTGATGGCGGTGGTAACGGAGGCGATCCACGCCCTGACACCGAAGGCCAAGCCGTCGCCGTACTCGAAACGGTGGTGGACGACCGACCTGACACAGCTTCGTCGAATCTACACGTACTGGAGAAACCGAGCGCGTGCAGAAAGGCGGGCGGGACGAGCCATGGCGGACCTGGAAGAAAAGGCGAAGGCGGCATCGAAACAGTACCACGACGCGATCCGTCAGCAAAAGAGAAAGCACTGGAATGAGTTCCTAGCGGACAACGACAACATATGGAAGGCTGCTAAGTACCTGAAAGCAGGCGATGAGGAGGCTTTCGGCAAGCTGCCGCAGCTGGTCAGGGCAGACAAAACAACGACGACGAACCACACAGAACAAGCAGAAGAACTACTCACCACCTTCTTCCCCGCCCTCCCCGAAGACATTGACGAGGAGGGAGACAGACCGCAGAGAGCTGCGGTGGAGATGCCGCCTATTACGATGGAAGAAGTGGAACGCCAGCTATTCGCGACAAAGTCGCGGAAGGCACCCGGCGAAGACGGGCTCCCAGCGGTGGTCTGGAAGCAGATCTGGCCGGTGGTGCGGGACTGGGTCTTGTCGATCTTTCGGGCATCGCTGGAAGAAGGAAAACTGCCCCACCAGTGGAGACATGCAAAGATCATACCGCTCAAGAAACCGGGCAAAGATAACTACACGCTGGCAAAAGCATGGCGGCCGATCTCGCTGCTGGCCACATTGGGTAAGGTGCTGGAGTCGGTGGTGGCGGAAAGGATATCACATGTTGTCGAACTCTATGGTCTGCTGCCGACCAACCACTTCGGAGCTCGAAAACAACGATCGGCCGAGCAAGCGCTCTTGCTCCTCCAAGAGCAGGTTTACACGGCATGGCGAGGCCACCGTGTTCTCAGCCTCGTCAGCTTTGACGTGAAAGGGGCGTACAATGGAGTGTGTAAGGAAAGGCTGGTCCAAAGAATGAAAGCGCGAGGCATCCCGGATGACGTGCTCCAGTGGGTATCGGCCTTTTGCTCCGACCGCACGGCAACGATCCAAATCAACGGGCAGTCGTCTGAATCGCGAAGCCTACCCCAAGCGGGCCTTCCTCAGGGGTCACCATTGTCCCCGATACTGTTCCTCTTCTTCAACGCAGATCTAGTGCAGAGACGCATTGACAGCAACGGAGGAGCGATGGCCTTTGTCGACGACTTTACAGCTTGGGTCACGGGGAAGACGGCTCAAGATAACCGCAAAGGCATCGAATCGATCATACGAGACGCAATCGACTGGGAAAGGAGGAGCGGCGCGACGTTCGAGGCCGAGAAGACGGCCATCATCCACTTTACCCGCAATGACCACAAGTCCGACCCGGAAC